GTCAGGAAGCAGGTTTGGGCAGAGGCCAAAAGTGCAATTCAGACATAGGCCCACACCCTTCACCCTTTCCTGACCTCTTAGGAGGCGCTGGAGCACAGATGATGTCAGCCAATCAACAATCAGAGGATGCCCTGTGACAGGAAAGCCCTTAAGCCGCGCCCAGCTGCTTTCTCAGTGGATACTATGCAAGGGGAGATTGAGGGATAGCCTGCCCTCAGCTGGTACATCGGGAAAGAGATATCTTTGGGTAAGAAAGGCTAATTTCTAGAGCACCCCTGGGCTCACTCCAGGGAGCCCGCAGCTTCCTCTACTGTGTGTGTGTGGGGGGGGGGCCCGGGGGGGAGGGGGATCGGTGAGAGAAGCTTGGTAGAGAAGGTGTGCTCAATGCCCTGCAGTCCATGTGTTCTCAGAAAAGCTCCAGAAACCCTTGTCTTGTTGGAGAGAGTTAAAGCTTCCTTCAGCACTTCTTTAATCTCAGCACTCAGGAGGCAGAGGCAGAGGCAGGAAGATCTCTGTGAGTTCAAGACCAGCCTGATCTACATAGTTCCAGGACAGCCAAAGTTACATACATAGTGAGACCCTGTCTCAAAAAACAAAACAAAAACCAAACAAATGAAGAAAGCTTGTTTTAGATACTGGGGAGCTGGGTATCCTGAAGACACTTAGTAGGGCTGTAGTACAACTTTGTCTCCATAGGAAGTTTCTAGTGGGAAAATGAAATCAGATTACTTTTTTTTTTTTCTTCTTCAGACTTCTGTCCCTCCATCAGTGCAGGGCGTCTCTGGGAGAACTGAAGACAGAACTGGCCGAGATGGTGGTGGTGGGAGGGGGCAGGGTTCTGGTTCTGAGAGGAAGGGCTGAAGACAAATCTATGGCCTGATCTTCTGCAGCTCAGGAGAGCCAGTCCCGCAAGCAGGTAGCAGGAGGCAGATTGTGAGAAGCAGTGCAGATCTGCTGGAGAATCACTCCTTCCAATTGGGAGATCTGACAGAAGTATAATCACAGAACTCTTTAAGGGGCAGGGGAGTCCGTGCTTTGGCAAGACACAGCTGAGTAAAAGTCTTCAGCCTGAGAAGACCTCCTGGTAGGGCCTGCTGACAACCAAGCTATAGGTAGAGGACTTCTTGACAGAAACTGTGACTTCCAGAGCAGGAAAACATCTATCCTGAAAGGCTCCGGGCGTTCCTGGGCTCTCTCATTTCTCATGCCTTGCCCAGGTCTCTAGGGTGCTGGGGGAACCTCGGTCCAGTGTGCGGTGCATGGTTCAGGAAAACTACAGAATGAGCGCATCGCTTAATCCTCTCACTTCTTATTTTCCTCATGAAATGAGAACTCGCATCTCCCTAGTGAGGCTGGCGGCTGAGTCCCTCAAAGACCCTAAACTTTATTTCCTCAGAGCCCAGACTCAGCTCTTCTCTGGAGCTGATGTTGCCTCTCACAGAGGGACTTGGGGTCCGAAGTTTTTCTAGCCTATTGGTCAGTTACCACTTCCAGCCCAGCACCCCCCCTCCACCCGCCATCTCCAGGAATTCCTTACCCACCCTCCCCATCCTATGCTAAGCTTCTAGGCTGCGCTCACAGCCCTTCGGGGAAACCGAGAGGAGGACACTGGCGCCTGTGACGTCCAGGAGGCGACAACAGCCGTAGGTACCGAATCTAAGCCAAAGTTGAAGCCTCTCCGCCGAGATCTGCAGAAAACAGATTGCGTTAGCCATCAGTCCAGCAGCAGCGCAGGCCGGAGCGCTCCCTGGTGGGCGGGCAGGGTACCCGCGGCCGCACCCACAGTCAATCCCTACAGCCGGTCCTAGGAGAGCATATCCCGCTCGCAGCTGCTCAGTTCCAGGGGCGGCAGAGCTGGCAGCGGGCAATGCAGAGGGTTCCGGTGGCAGGAACTGGGGCTCTGGGCCACCGGTTCAGGCCGCCCAGGAAATGCCTGCTTTGCCGTCCCCCGGGGACAAGCGAGGGGGTGGGAGGGCGAAGCCATCAGAAAGGAGGCGGGTCAGGCGCAGCTGCTAGACTAGCAGTTCCAAGCCTAGGATGGAAGCCGGAGAACGTGTTCTGCCGGAATCTTAGCTCAGGCCATTCCTTTTTAGAAAGTTTGGGGTGACAACAGGTTGCTAGCAACAGGACCCTGGGAAGGAAGGCTAGCACCATTACTGCCTTGCAGATTAGAACAGCTCTCCAGGTCCTGGGTACTCGCTCTCATTAGGTAACCATGGATAAACTAACCCAAATAAAACGTAAACCTCACAGGTGTGCTGAAGTTGATTTCTCTCCTTAACATATTTTCCAAAGAGTAAACATTGTGGATAAGTTTACTGGAGGAAAATCTTTTCTTCTGGTTCTGGTGGTGGCACTTGGATACCCAGGAGCGACAGATAAGGGTAGAGGATCCAGCTGGGCTCTCAGTCAGCTTGGCTATCAACACTGCACAAGAGCGAATCTCAGGCTTTGCATTTGGTGTATAAGGTCAAGCAGGAGATGCCATCTGCTGAGGTCTGAACTAGGGGAGCACAGGAGTAACTTCCAAATCACTCCAGGACAGCTCCCTGGGAGCTTGAAGGCCAAAGGACCAAAGCGTGTAGTCGCTGCCTGCTACTTGTTCCTCACTGCAAATTCTGACCCCGCCCACCCGCTGACCTTGGATGGCCCAGGCCCTGGAGTGGCGCAAAGAGAGAACTTTCCCATTGTTCTCCGCAGTGGGACCTAGTGCGCCAGGCTGCGATTTAGCCCTTAGGCGCTCAGCTCAGCGCCACACTTTTGGCAATTTCCGACGCCCACGTCTTTGCTTCCACTCGCTGGCTTCCTCCCTCCACCCCCGGAAAAAGTGACTCCAAATATATCCGGTGGCCTCGATTTGTAATCGCTCACTTGCTCACTTAATGGCCTTTGCTAACCCACAGGACAGGGACCATTTTTATTTACACGCAGTCAGGCCTTAAGGGAGCCACGTGGGAACTGCAATTCACTACTCTCAAATCAACAACTTCCTTCCCATCTAAATAACGAGAACTTGAAGAGGCGCCCTTCCGAGACACTGACGTTTCCTTCTCCATCTGAAAACAAAAAGCCGGACTAGTGCTCAGAAATGCATTTGCTCCCTACATTGACTGATTAACTTTAAAAAAAAATGAAGGCTATTAAATCACTTCGAAGAACACACAATCTCAGCGACAGCGGTGGGGAGGGGCGTGGAAACCCTAGAAATTCTAACAGCTGCAATAAAAGAGAAGAAAGAAAAGAGTCCTCTGACTAAATGATTTCTCTCTCAACTGTTTTGTAGGAAATTGGCTTGGGCTAGACACACAGGGATGTCAAAAGAGCATCCGTAGCAAAAACGCATAGGTCCGGTGGCGGCCGCTATGTCATCTTTGGTCACCGCTATGGCTAGGATGCACTTTCAAATCCGAGGTGAACAACTCAAACCTACTTTTTGCAGCTTGGCTCCACCGGCCGGAAGCCGAACCGTGGAGGAGCTGCAAGAGCTCCGGACACTTGGGGACATTTATTCCGGAAGGGAGAATATACGCTCTGATTACCCCACACTGGTCCCAAATAGTTGAGTAAAGGGAGAAAGGATAAGGTCGGTTCCGCTTCGCCCGCCTGTGCCCACCGGGAAGTGCAAGGCGCCTGTGGCCGCAGAGTGAGTCACCTCCTGCGTCCCCGCGGCTCGCGTGGGGGTCGGAAGGAATGAAAATTCTGTCCCGGAACCGCACGCAGCCTGGTGTTGGAGGCCTTTCGGTCTTGCAGAAAATGGGTTCCAGGCACCGAGAGGCTCCCAAGTGGCCACCTGTGTGAAGTATCCCGACTTTCCTAACACCGATAGCCAGCGCAGGAATTTGGCCCCGCGCAGCCCCAGCGCCCGCGCTTCCTGCACCAGAGCTGACAGTTTCTGAGAAGACTCTTTCCCGCGCCGCTCCCCTGGACAAAGGTGCGAAACAAGGAAGAACCTCGGAGTGGATTTTCACCATTAAATAAGTGCTACTCATTACTCTTCAATTTGTCCCATATCGACATTCGACTTAAAAAAAAAAAAAGATTACTGGAGAAAACCGCCTAAGATTCAGTCAGTGTCATAGGTCAGAAAACTAACCAATCTAAGCAGGAGCCGATGCCGGCTTAATTGTTTATTCAAGAGAAAGAGAAGTTAGAACATTTATCAAATTAATGTTGCCAAGGAACAGATACTCACTCACATAAAACCTTCGACATGTGACTTAAAGTTTCAACTAGTACCTTAAAACTAACCCTCCCTTCCCTCCGCTCACCTCTCGGGCCTTTGAGTTTGGAAAGCGTGAGATAGTGTTTACGTCTGTCCCAGTTAAGCGCCAGGCGCAGGGAGATCACTCTCAACTATATTAAGAGACCCGGGAAAGTTAGTGACTTCCGCCGAGGTTTTCCCTGCTTAAACTTCCTAAATCAGGGTCTGTTGGGGGGCCCTTCCCTGAGCCCCGATTATAGAACTGGGTTTGCGGTGGGGCTGGAAACACGTCTGGTCGGCTTTCCCTCTTCCATCCCTGTCTCTCTTCCTCAGCTCTTACACTCAGGAACCGGATGGCGGGACACTTGGATGGGGACTAGCGTCTTGTCACATAGGCGACTACAGCCAAGGCTGTCCCCAGAAGCGAGTGTGGAAGAGCCCGCGTGTATAGGAGAGCGCCACTCAACCGAGTGGGACCTCTTTCAGCGTCGGGTCACTCCAGCCAGCATCTTCACCATCTGCTCCTGTCACCAGCCGGTGGCCTCGCCTCCCTGAACCCGCCCCTTGAGTTCTGAAGCCAATAGTAACCCCAGACTGCTCTACCCCCCTTCGCGAACCCTTTCCACACCCCCACGTTCCGAGAGACGATTGGCTGTTTCGACTTGGGTGAAGCTCCGGCATTTGCATGCTGCTCGCGGTTCCTGGTAGGTAGCGCAGCCCGTCACTCGGAAGGCCGGGACCGCCCACTCCACCTCAGTGCGGGGCTCTCTTCCTGCGCAGTTCTCAGCCGCAGCCTCAGCGGGCAAGCGCCGGGGCTGCTCTCAATCTCCTGGTTGCGGGGAGGCAGCCCCGGCGAGCTGCCGTGCGCCCCGTCCAGGGGAACTAGGTGCGGGGTACAGCGTAACTGACAGCGCGTCTGCCCACAGTTCCTGCCGCCCGGACTTCGCTTTCCAGCCCCGGCTTCTCGTGGGCATCATGTCAAGAGCCGTCGCCGCTGCAACCGCCGCCGCCACCCGGGAAAGAGCCGCAGCCTCGGCAGCCGCGCGCGCACGAGGGCAATAAACCGAATCACTCCGGGCTCAAAGTGGCAGGGGACCGTCGCGGTGCTCTCTGTTCCGGCGGGACTCGTGCCATGTGCTGAGCCATGCCCCTGGCCGTGCCCGCGGGCCGCGTATGGGGCAGCGCCTGAGCGGCGGCCGGTCCTGCCTCGATGTCCCGGGCCGGTTCCTGCCGCAGCCGCCGCCGCCCCCGCCGCCGGTGAGGAGGAAGCTCGCGCTGCTCTTCGCCATGCTTTGCATCTGGCTGTACATGTTCTTGTACTCGTGCGCCGGCTCTTGTACCGCCGCTCCCGGCCTGCTGCTCCTGGGCTCGGGGTCCCGCGCCACTCACGCTCAGCCAGCTCTGGTCACAGCTCCGAATGAGACATCTCCTAAGATGCCCTTCCGGGCACCTCCGGCCAACTTACTGGCTGCAGGCAAGGATAAGACAGTAGGCGCCGGGAGCCAGGAGGAGCAGAGTCCAGAGGCGCCGGACTCCCCCAGTCCCATCTCCAGCTTCTTCAGCGGCGCTGGGAGCAAGCAGCTGCCGCAGGCCATCATCATCGGCGTGAAGAAGGGCGGCACGCGGGCGCTGCTGGAGTTTCTGCGCGTGCACCCCGACGTGCGCGCCGTGGGCGCCGAGCCCCACTTTTTCGACCGCAGCTACCACAAGGGTCTTGCCTGGTACCGGTGAGTTTCCTCTCCAGGGGCTGCTGCTCCGGCCGCGATCCTCCACAGGCCGTTGCGCGTCAGGTGGGGAGGGAAGCAGGGGTACAACTTCGGTCAACCTAGGGCGGGCGGGGACCAAAGTGCGACAGCATTTTGCGGGTGGACAGTTGCGGAGAATTCAGATGTTCTGGGGTAGGCTGAGACAGCCACCTAGAGAAACTTGTAGGTTGGCACCGTTGACTGGTACGCTGCGCCCTAGAACCATTTAGGCGACCTCGCCACAAAGACACCCGGCAGCTACTGTGACAGCGCCAGAGGAACGGGTTACTTTTTGGCTGTGGCCACATCCTATTCGAATAACTTGGCGTGGCTAGGATTTTGTTGTCTCTCTTGCAGCCGGGGACGCGGGGAGGAGTGTTGTGCGCCTCTGGGTCACAGCCTACAACGAGCACCAACTGCTAGAGTCGCTTCTGCTGCCCAGATGGGGAGAGGGGCGCAGGCTAAGGCGCAGCGCCAAGGCTTTTTCGAGTCTGCTAACTTTTTGTTACAATTCTCCTTGTTGCCGGAACCCGAAAGGGGTCTGACCCGCTTGGCTGGCGAGCGGCTTGGGCTCGGGAGGGTAACGGGGAGGCTGCGCGACTTTGCTGGCTGCGGCGCGCCGGGCGTGGAGCTGTGCTGGTCCCTGTCGGGCAAAGGCGCGCACTGCAGCCGGCAGCCTCTTCGAAGGCTTCTGGGCGCCCGAGGCGCTGCCGGCCTGCTGCCGCCTCGCCTCCCGGGCCTCTGTGCTGGGAGGGCCTCGACAAGGACGTGTATTTCCGCGGACCCCGAGCTCAAAAAATATCTCTGGACCATTGATTGAGAAATGAGGGTTGTTTCGAGGTCGTGGCTTCCGGCTGTGAGCCTAGTTCTAAAGGGACCGAGGCTCCCGGGTCACATTCACGACCTCTGCCCACTGCATCCCGGGCTGCTGGTCTGGTATGAGCTGCTGGAGGGGGGTCACACCCCAGTTTCCGGAAACGCAGCCGGGTCCTCAGCCCCTTAGGTCATCACCCAGCACTCGCGTTTCCCCCAATTTTCTCCCCCAGACCCAATTACTTTCTAAGAGGGTCACGACTTCCGAAAACAAGGAGAAACACGAACCGAACCCCGCTCTCTGCCTCGACCGTACTTTCTAGGACACGGATGGCGTGGCAAATAAAGGGGCCTGACCCTGAGGATTAAAGCAGCTCCTTTCCCAGCCTCTCTCTCCCCCTCCTCTTTGTTCTTTATGTCTTTCTTTCTTTCTTTCTTTCTTTTTTTTTTAATTGTGAAGAGTTGACCAAGTCTGGAGGTTTAAGCCAGCAGTGACGGTCTCCCTTCTCACAGTTCCCAGGGCACTGCGGGCTAAGAATGGAGACTCGGGTGCAACACTCGGATTCCGGTCCGGTGGGTCCTGGTGCTCTCATCCGGGCACTGGGAATAACGTGGATTCTGGGTGGGCCGGGAAGGGCGAATACTTGGGTGCAGCCAGGAGCTGCACGGGGAGCTACCACGGGGGCCTTCGCTAACTGTAGGCTGTTACCATCGATGTGTTGTTGATGCCGTTTACTTCTTTCCCACCACTCGTCCTATACACACCCTCCTGGGATAAGTTTCGAGGACCGGGTGGCAAGCTAATCGTTAGAATCATTTCTGGCGGAGCCGAGCCCGAGGCAGCCTGAGGCTTTTTTGATCAGACCCACTCCGGGCTGGGTCCGTAGCAAGTGGCAAGCAAGTCACTGAGCCCTTGAAGGTTTTAGAGGCACCTGGGGCAGGTGGTGGAAATCCCCGCTGGAAGATTCACGCGGAGGCGGAGGCAGAGGTGGCTGCCTCCACCTGCCACCGCCCTTGGGGCTCTGGAGGCTCTCCTTTCTCTTGGGCGGCGGTGGAGAGCACAGCCGAATAGCGTGGCGGGGACCAGCGACCCGAAGCCGCGCCGCCAGTAGCCGTACAGGCCACCCGGGCTCCAACAGGCTGCGGGGAGCCAGGGTCTTTTTTCTTCTGAAGCCACCGGGAGGCACAGGCCTCGCGGAGGTGACCTGGTGATCTAGCTGCAGTAGCGCAAGCGTCCCCTCCACGCGACCTTCCCTGGCTGTCCCACCAGTGACCAGTGTGCCAGCAGAGTTACTGAATATTTTATTAAAGAAAAAAATAGTGCTGTTTATTTAAAACTTGTAAATCATTTTAGACTATTCTGAGTGCCTGGAGAAATGTAAGGACTTCACGATTAATTTGAAAGCAACCCTGAAACTCTAAATCCAACAGGCTCAGGAGACGCCGACCCAGGACCCCGAGCGTTACACCTATCTCCTCCCGGCTGGAGTCCACCGGGCTCTCCGAGCTGTGGTCCAAACCAGGCCTGCAGGGTCCCTACTGCTCTGTCCCGGGGTAGGCCGTCCCGCTGGAGAACAGCGTAAATAATGATTAACCAGAGAGCTGCAAGGCACAATCGTGGTTAAAACAAGTCCTCAACGCCGAAGTGTGAGCAAGGGGAGGCGCTTTTAAAGCCTTTGAGACAAAATGGGAGGGGGTGTGGAATGGATGGTTGAGTTCTGGGGTTAGCAGGCAATCGGTTGTAGAATGAGGGTCGTGGCTGTGTCTGAGCGAGTTGTTAATGAGTTTAATGGATTAATATGCAGACCTGCCAGGGGCCCATGGCCTGGTGCATTTTCCTGGATGCCAGAGAATTTGTAGTCCTTACAGATCCCTACCAATGCACCATCAGCCAACGGGTGGCCCAGACTCCTGGGAGGCCAGAGCCTGCCTTGGTGGCAACTTGGAGCTGACCCGGCCGCTGCCACCACCCAGACTTCGGGAGTCTTTACAGCGCCCAAGTTTGCAAAAGTCAAAGCTAATGCGAGCTAGTTCCAGTCTGCTTGAGGCCCAGTTTGTACAGAATTCAGAGCTGACTTTCCCGTTCATACCCAGGGTTCTCTAATCACTTTCCAAACTTAGTGCCTGTTGGTGATATCTGAGGGGCTCATGGGGCTGTGGTTTCTGAGAGGTTTGGGGCTAGGGGACTTGGAACTTACAACCTTCTGATGGAGCAAGCCGCCATCCGGCTTGGCATGAAAATGTAAACTGGTGGCGAGGCATTGATGAAGCAGTTTTTAGAAAACATTTCTTCTTGATCCAGTTCAAGTTTTTGTAAATTTCCAAGAATTTGATGACCAGAGTTTAGGAGTTAAGTTAATCAAACGTTATATGATCGTCATTTGCTCCACAGAAGTGGGACTTTTTTCACAGGATCAGGTCCCCTTTCAATTTCGGTTGTACAAAATAAACTGGGGGGGGGGGGTCGATGATCTCTCTCTCTCTCTCTCTCTCTCTCTCTCTCTCTCTCTGGGTGTGTGTGTGTGTGTGTGTGTTTAAACAATATTGTAGTTAAACTGTATTAAACGTTTGTTGCAGGCACTGTTTCAAGTGTTATGGTTAGCTGGTTTAATCCTCATTACCATCCTGTGAAGTGGATACTTTTGACAGATGAGGAAACACAGCACGAACAGAGAGGTTAATCTACTTGCTCAAAGTCTCACAGCTAGAAAGTGACAAGAGTTCTTATTCCAACAGGACATCCTTCTGTGCCAGGCTCCCTGACTTTAGTGACCAAAATGTGCTGTTCCTCATGTGTAATTCTTCAAAGCGATGTCTGCTCTAACAGTGTTTGAAGGTTTCCTGCCCACCTCCGGTGGCCCCGTGTAGAGTGCCCACTTTGTCATTTATCTTAAAAACCTTTGTAATGCCGGGACAATTGACTGGGAATCGTCTTGCACTGGTTTCTAACTAGATGAGGATAATCAGACCTTTCTGTCACTTTTATTTCTCTGCACAGGATGGCTAGAATCAAAGGAGTCATTAAAATGACAAAAATATCCCTCAAGTATAGTGGCTGAAAAAACAGCCAGTGTCTCATGAAGGAAGTGGTTTATTCAATGGCATTTGCCCCCTTCAGGCTGGGAGGCCCAGGTTAAGTGACATGTTCCTAAGCTCTTTGGAATTAATTTGTTCATTTAAAACGATAGAATGATCCCAAGTCAAGAAGGACACAGTGATTACTCCATGCTCATTAATCAGAAGGCAGCTATAGCTAGAACTCCGAGGTTTTCCTAGAGATACTAAAATCCAGTAATAAATGTCTCCCGGTGACAGCTGAAAACAGTAATTTCCTTTATATTTTTAGCTGATCTCCTACCTCCACAAACCTAGTCTGTTTCTAAAAACTTGGTGGCCAGTCCTGTTTCTGACTTCCCTGGAGCTCTGATCTCATTGGGGATAGTCTGTTTCTAAATAACTGTGCTTCCTAGGTTCTTCAGTTTAAGCCAAACACACGGCTCACTTCCAGGCTGCTGGGAGAAGGTCAGCCATCCACATTGAGATGCACCAATTTGAAATACAAATCATGATGTTAGAATGCTGTCAAGATTTACCAGCAGGACTGTGTAGCATGTGTTGAGCTCTGTTTTTAATTAGGCCCCTAAATTACACCATAAAATGGTTGATTAATCTTTTACAAGTTGGGGGGCAAATATAACATAAATTAACCTAATCATAAGTGTTTTCCCAGATGCTGAGTTAATAAAATTGTCAATATTTAATAGTGGCCTATTAGTTTTAGATAAATAAAATGCCAAAATGTATGAATTAAATTGCATTTATTATCTTCCAAGTGGTAGGTTATTATCCAGCCAGTCTGCGAAGATTAGTTTGGAGTCCTTGTCTTAGGAGACATTCTTAAAAGATAGGCTGCTACAGTAAATAGAAATTAAATGCCAACTACACTAGATTGTGCTTTTAAAAAAGGAATCTACTTATTTAAAAAAGCAGTAGTTTACTGTCCACTAATAGTGTTGAGATGTGTTCTCCAGTCAATAGTCTCCCATTTGCCACTGCGAAGTGATCGTACACATCTCTTGTTTCTCTGATTTGTTTTTGTTTGTTTTATGTTTTGAAGATCAGCACTTCACAAATTCTCATTCTAAACAGGCATGCTCCAGTTTGAGCCC